ATCAAGAATTTTGCAATTTAATTTAGTACTTTTTGTTGTTTTTTCGAATTGGGGTGAGTGAGCTGTTGTGAAAAACTTATAGGGGTGAAAGATATTGGAAAAGGTTGAAAAGCACAGATCTAAACTTTAAGAGCTGTATTCTATAAAGTGTGAAACTGCAGTATTTCTGTTAGTCTAGGCTTTGACAGCTGTATTCCATAAAGTGTGAAACTGTAGCGTTTCTGTTAGTCTAAACTTTGAAAGCTGTATTCCAAAAAGTAAAAAACTGTAAGGTTTCTGTTGGTCTAAACTTTGAGAGCTGTATTCCATAAAGTGTGAAACTGCAGTATTTCTGTTAGTATAGGCCATTACAGCTTCATACTTTATGGAATACAGCTGTCAAAGTTTAGACTAACAGAAACACTACAGTTTCTTACTTTTTGAAATACAACTGTCAAAGTTTAGACTCACAGAAACATTACAGTTTCTTACTTTTTGGAATACAGCTGTCAAAGTTTAGACCAACAGAAACCTTACAGTTTCTTACTTTTTGGAATACAGCTTTCAAAGTTTAGACAAACAGAAACGCTACAGTTTCACACTTTATGGAATACAGCTGTCAAAGTTATATCAACATCTTGGTTTGACACAAGATTCCTCATTGTCTAAGTTATATCAACATCTTGGTTTAAGACAAAGTTCCTCATTGTCTAACTTATATTATCATCTTCGTCACAAAAATTCCCCATTGTCTAACATATATCAATATCTTGGTTTAACACAAAATTCCTCATTGTCTAACCTATATCAGCATTTTGGTTTAATTGGTTTTAAGACAACGTTCCTCTTTGTCTGACCTAAATGAACATCATGATTTAACACAAACCTCTTTGTGAAATTCATCTCAATACCTTGAGGTAAAACAAACCTTTTCTGATCCACATACATGACTTTACTTAATACAAACCTCCTCCTTGTGTAACCCTATCAAGATCTCGACGTAATACCATTATTTTCTGACCCATACATTTAATATATATAAACCTCCTCCTTGTGTAACCCATCTAAAAACCTTGAAGCAATACATCACTTCTTTCCTAACCCATACAGTATTTTATTTAGATACAAACATTCACATTTCTTGATTTTATGTAATATTTTTCCTTGTCAGGTACATTATTCAATCTTTACAAATCTTCTTTTTATCACACTCATTTTCTCAACCAAATGCCCAAATTGTGAATTCATTGATACACGTGAATTTTATCAGCCCTACATCAACATTTTAATTTCACATAAATTTCTTTGCGTTGTATTTGTTTCGGCTTCTAATGTGTCACAATAAGCAGTTAGACACCTAGTAAATAATTGGTTCATCGTATTTTGGAACTTGTTTCCATATTCGTCTTTTGAGTATATATCATAATTTTTTTAGCAATTGATCTCTTTACCTTGAGAACTACTGATTATTTTTCTACTACAGGTAAAGAGACTGAGTCCACTAAACCTGATTCCGTGAAACTCTCATCATCAAGTCCACTGAAGGAAAAATTTGAAAGGAAAGACGTCAATGCTCAGAGAGAAAAAGTTGAACGATCCACGCACAAGGAAAGGTCCGATCGTAAGGAAACTGCTTCACAAAAAGTCAAGTCTGATCTAGATATACAAACTGATAGGTCGCAACACAAAGAATCCGCTAGACATAAAGACAAAAGTTTGTTGTTAAACTGTAGAGGTTATACCAAAGAGAAAGACAAAACAGATATCGACACAGTAAAGTCTTCTCACAGAGTTGAGCCAGGTTCAGAAAAGAACCAATCTGAAAGAACATTGAGAGATAAGTTTGAAGGTTATGAAAGTAGTACGCAAAAAAACTCGTATGGTCAGAAGAATTTATCACAACTTCAGGAATCAAGCTTGCTAAAAGAGAACCAAGATTGTAATGGAAAAAAGTATGGAATCTGTAACTTTGAAGCATCAGTCGCCAGAACAGAAGCCACAATTTCCAGTAACAAGTCAATAGCTACATCTGAATATAAGTGTAAAGAAACTAAAACTTCGGATGCGATTCAACTTGATGAAGGTGAACAAAATCAGATTTGCCAGTCAAAGTTATCTAGTCCTACTCCTAGGTCTGAAAAGGACTTAAAGTTTCTCAGTCCTGAGATTTCTACCAGTACCAGTTGGAATAGAACGTCTAATATCGTTGAGAGTTGTTCAGACTCTAGTGACCTGATGTTGAGCCAAGTAGCCAATAGTAACATTCCTAAGCCTACAGCTGCTGTGAAAGGAACATCCAAATTTCCTATTGAGGATGGTCAAGAGTGTAAAAGTGCCAGTGATTCGTCTTCAAGCTGTCAAATTGAGTGGAAACAGAACACGAAAGATCAAGACACTCTAGATGTAGCAAGTTCATCTAGTACTACTTGTAAACCTTTTTATGATGAAAATGAAGGAGATATATCTGCTAATACTTCTCAACGGATTGAGCAAATGGACACTCGCCAAGAGTCTGATCGATCTTGTACAAAGTTAGATAGTTCAGGGCATGACCATTTTTTAGACGGTTTACAAAATGGCATTTCTGTTGCCAAAGTATCGCCTATAATGAGTTATGATGTTACAGTTTCTAGTAAAATCAAACATGGGAAACAAGGTAAAGCTACTTGTGATAATGGTAACAGGAAAAATAAAAATCATTTCGTATTAGGAAACAATACAGGGAACCAGGAATGTGAAGTCTACTCCTCTCAAAGTTCTGCGTCTCCAGGAGCAGCGCAACTGAAGACATCGACAGACGTACAAGACCCTGAAGACATAAAGAATTTGTCTCATCTGCGCAAGAAAAGAACGCCACTTGCTGTCAGGAAATCCGGGAAGCATGATGCACATATTACAGGCCCCTTCTTCATGAATATGACGATAATAGAAGAATCAGATGATGTCATGGCTAATATAAAGCCCATGCAGCCCATCACGCGTGTCTTGCCTTATGGTTATATTCGTGGCCTAGGTTCTCTGTCTTCCACCCGTAACCTTACGAACAGGTTGCACATGCCTAACTTTCGGTTCCCCTCAGATGCCGGAAGTGTTTCTTCTGGTAAGTTCGGGTTGTCACGTCATATCCAAGCCACAGAAGACTCATCAAAGATTTATGGTGTCCCTGTTAAAAGGGGGCTGGGAAGCAGTCGTGCCTTATTGGACGTGGATTCCATAGATATTGGGACAGGTTACATGAGTGATGGTGAAGTTCTTAGATCGAGTGTCGTGTATAGAGCAGAGGATATCTCCAGTGGCTACATGAGTGAGGGTGGAGGATTTCTATATTCAAGACGAGTAGCCTCGAAGTTGAATGGAAAAGATATGCCTTCTAAGCCAATTAATGTTCTTCAAGATGACAGGTAAGAGAAACTTTCAGTTCAAGTTATTGTACCTTTTAAACGGCAATTGATGTCAGAAACTTGTCATCACTAACCTCATCACAACAATTTAAATTAGAATCGTGGGATCATGCGTTCGTGAGTTCAAAAGGTTTTAATGATTATAATTTAGTTATTTCTTTACTTATTTACATTTTGTACCCAAACTTTTAATTATATATTCTTATCCTGACGTTTATGACACTGATATTTATTCGGGCATCATACAAGTGTGTGTGTGTGTGTGTGTGTCAAGCGAGTCTGGCTATGTATGTTTATTATTTTTTGAGTAGGTAAGTAGTTGTATAACTTAAGACAAAAAATACAAATCCCCTTAACGCAAGCGCTTTTGAAAGGTGGATCGTTCTTCACCAATGGCAAACTGGGAATATATATCTTGTATAGAATGTATATATATTGTTCATTTTACATTTTTACTGTTCTCTAAGAAATACATATGATAAACGCTGATACCTGAAATATAGTTTTGAAATAAACGTCAGTCTATGTATAGAAACTTTAACCTGAAACCTTGGATTTGTCTGATATATTTCATGAAATTTAAACTTAGCGTGCTGTGACGCTACATATATACCAAAATATAAGCCAATCATAAACTAGTTAGCTAATTAAGGAGTATTCCTGTTCTTCTAGTCTATTCAAACGGTCATTGCTGCTACTGACTGATACAGGATTGTGTTTGTACCAGCTACGAATGTAAAAACCACTATATTAAATAATCATACCAGACTAGCCCTACTCTCTATTCTAGTTGTTAATTTAAGATAGAGACTAAATTATAATTTATATAATTACACTGTCACTCTTACTGATTGGTACTGCTACAAAAACTACGTTTGTAAGAAATAATTTACACAACTATCCTGTCAACGTAGAGATTTAGTTTAACTATACTGTAGCTTATGCTGTACTTCTGGCCAAGATTTATAGATCCACTAACATTTAACCTTTGTAAGTCTAAAAGCTTGCTCAGTTACTGCCAGTCCTCGTACAACTGCCTACGTTCCCTCATTGGTTAGCAGTGTCCCCTCATTGGGTAGCAGTGTTCGGCTGATTAACCTTTATAGGTCATTGACACGTTGTTACGGCTCAGAATGCAGAATTGTTAGATACATACTAGTATTTAACTGGTTCGTCTATTAATTAAAAGGATTATTTTCCAGGATGTTTTCAATGACGAAAGGCTATTTATATGTTTTGCTTACTAACTCTTGGTCTCGTACTATCCACGAAAATGAATTGTGTGTAATCCGAAACGTCCTATAAAATGTTTATCTTGCTATCGTCTTTACTCTTCTTATCCAATCGTGTTTATGAACAAGTGAATCAAACCTAACTATTATTTCTGCCACAGTCACGTACTATCGTCTGCTATCGTATCTAGAAGTATTACACGCTAAGTGTAATGTTGTATTATGCCTAAACTGGTGAAGCGTTAATATCTTAATGGATATTAAATGTGGCTTTAGACTAATCATATTACCTGAACTAGATACTTCATAGAACATAGCAGATAAGGTTAGATTAACCCAAATACCATTATTATCAAACTTAGAATGAACATAGTACTGCAGCTATATACTTCATAGAACATAGCAGTTAAGGTTAGACTAATTAAAATACAATTATCACCAAATATAGACTAAATGTAGTACTGCAGCTTCATACCTCGTAAACAAACATCTGTCATGGTTTATAGAGACTAACCCAACTATCATCGTTTCCAAGGTATAACCTATCCTTGCTGTTCCAAAACGGTTAAGATGTAAATTAACAGAAAAATTACAATATCATACTTTAGAAAGCTGCCAAAGTTTAAACTAACGCGTACATGGACTACATCTACTACTGTATAGAACAAAACTGCTAAAATTTATACCAACCTAACACAACTTCACACTTTATAGGACACAGCTTTCAAAGTTTAGACCAACAGAAACTTAGACAATGAGGAATCTTGTGTCAAACCAAGATGTTGATATAGCTTAGACAATGAGGAATCTTGTGTCAAACCAAGATGTTGATATAGGTTCGATAGTTAGATCAAGACACTGAGACAGGTGAAATAGAGGACTAAACTAAAGAAAATACTCTATGCATATTCACAATACGGCTTAGTTACCTTACTGAATATTAAGCTTTACACCATGCTTATTACTTTGAAAATTTTAAACACCCATTACTTGTGGATATTCATCTCTAGTTTTAATTACTTAATAGATATTTAGAAAATTCATACAAAGTATTTAGATATTAGGACTTGATATTACAATCATTTTACGTCTATAAATACAAATAGCCTAACGAGTTTCTAGCTTGAATGAAAAACTCGATATTTTGGAAAAGAAACCGATCCTAGGTTAAAATATACCACCGTTTCTTTCTTCATAATATTTAAACATACACATTCAATTAACCGATATAAAGTATATCAAAAAATCAATATATATATATATATATATATA